TGCAGTTGCTGCATTAGTTGCAAAAATATAAAAAAAAAAAAAAGGAGAAAAAGCCACTTCCAGCAGCTGGGAGCTGAAGCAGCTCTCCCCCATCACAGCATTTCAGGAAGGCAGCGAGCAAAGTGTTCTCCCAAGTGGCTGCTGCAGCGGGTCCTGCTGCAATCTCTGGAGAGCTGAGGCTCTCTGGGAGGGATTTGCGTTCGTTTTTCTCTGCTCCTTTCTCTTCCAGAGTCCCTCTGTGCCTGGAATTGTAATGGTGCTGCCAGAGGGGAGGAATGAGTTTCATCCTGGTGCTCTCTGGTTTTCCTGCCGGCACATCCCGGGGAGCTGGCCAGGCTGCACGGACAGCACTGCTGGGGAGGAGGAGCAGCCCCTCCTCCCCGAGGCTCAGCACGTTTTTCCTCTCATTTATTGATGTCCCTTAACTAGTTTGGGGATGCCAGCAGCGTGCCTGGCACAGAGGTGGGGAAGGGGATGTGTCAGGGCAGCTCGAGAGAGATGGAGGCACAAATGTCAACAGGAGCCGGCTCCAATCCCGGCTGTGTCTGTGATGCTCTGTGCTCACTCTGCTCTTCCCTGCTGGAAAAGATGTACAGGAATGCAGGAATCATAGAACAGCCTGGCTGGGAAGGGACCTCAGAGCTCTTCTCCTTCCACCCCGTGCCGTGGGCAGGGTCACCTTCCACTCCAAGCTCTGCAGAACCTTGCAGGCTGCCGGGGATGGGGCAGCCACGGCTTCTCTGGGCGGACCTCCTGGAGAGGAGGTACATGAGCTGTGCCTCCAAGGAAATCAGGATTTTGGACTTTCCCTCTGCTGTGTGCCATTGGTGGGGCTGGGGAAAAATCCTCCTTTGGGGATGGAAGGTGCCCAAACCTCACTTTGTCCTTGTGTCCATGGAAGATCAGGGCAGGAACACCGTCCCCTCCCTGTCTCAGGAAGGTTTGGGAGGCTCATCCCTTGGTGGGAGCCCTGGCTCAGGGGGATGATCACACATGGAAGGTGCTGCTGGAGGTGCTGCACAGGGATGGGGATGCCGGGCATGGCGGGGAGCTGCTCTGGCAGGGCAGCACACGGAGCTGGAGGAGCTCCAGAGCAGGAGCAGGGACAGCAGTGTAGGAATTGGATCATCCTGCAGGTGTGTGCTGTGGGAAGTGGGATGTGCACAGATGAACACAGCCCTGATCCCGCAGGAGCCATCGACGCTCCGGCTCCCAGGGACAGAGCTCCTGGCACGGGAAACGCACGGCAAGGAGGAAATAACAAACAGTTCATGCTAAAACACACCAGAAAAATGGGAGTTCAGCAGAAGCCTTTCCTTCCTGCCAGCAGCTCTTGCAGGGAGTTATCCTGGAGCACGGAGCTCTCCTGGCCGTGTGTCTCCTGCATGGAGTGCCAGGGATGCACTGACACACAGCCTGTGTCCATCCCCAATCCCTGCTGGGCCTGGATCAGTGTCACATTGTCCTGCAGGAAATCTCTGCTCCAGCAGCTGCAGTGCAAGGGGAGGGCTCTGGCCACCAGCAGCAGTTTGGTGCTGGGGGCTTTGCTTTGTTCAGCCCAGGGCAGAAAGGGAATTTGGGAACTTGCTGAAGTTCAGGCAAGTTTTGGATTGACATCCTTCCCCCTCATCTTTCTCTTTCTCTGGAAATGGCTTTGCATCCAACGTCAGTGAGACACTTCCCTGGCCAGGGGAACTCACTCGGGGTAGCATCAGCCACCACCCTCCAATTTTGGGATGAGTTCCTTACTTGGGACTTTTGTGCTCTGGCTGCTCATCTTGGAATGTTTCCTTCCTCCTGCTGGATGCTTTTCTGTTCCTTTGACCATTCCCTGCCTTTTTGATTGCATTTCAGTGCAGATTTATAGGCCAACAGCAGAACCTTTGACATTTTCTTTTGGAGCTCTGCTACAGTATCCCAAAATAAGGGCAAAGCTTTTTTAAAGGTTTTAAATCTTGTCAAGATAGACAGATTCCACTTCTGACAAGGCGTTTTTTTTGTTTTTTTTTTTACCTTCTTTCAGCAAAAAAAAACAATACCCAAGTGTTTAAAGTTGTCCTGTTTGCTCCTGCAGATTTGTGTTTACTGGTGCATGTGAGAACTTGGATGGAGAAGGAGTTTTTTGCACAGAATGAGACTATCAGGGTCTTTCTCATTTATTGCTTGTGCCAGATCAAAGGGGTTGTGAGTAAGAAAGTGATTCCTAAAGGATTTTTTTCCCTTGATTGGAATGCTTGTTGGTCACTAGCAAGAACGAGGACTAAACTATTGTTCCTCCTAAGATATTTCATCAATAATCCATTTTAAGATAAAACTGGAGGCAGTTATTAAAAAATAAAAATAAAAAAAATCTTTGAATTTTTAATATTTAACTCTCTAAATTACTGTCAATCATCAAATCCCAGAACAGGTTGGGTTTGAGGGCCCTGATGACCAGATAGTCATAAGAATTTGGGAAAATATGTTCACACCATGTGAAAAAAAAGATTTATGGTGGCTGGAGTTGAGATACAGCACAAAGTTCTGTCTGTTCCCTCCTCCTGCATTTGCATTTCCCCCTATCATTGCTACCTTCCCATTTATCCCAATACATACATACATGTATCCCAGGGAATACACAGAGAGATTGTTTTGCCAGTGGCATCCCCAGATTTTTTTTTTTAAGTCTTGGCTATTTATTTGTTCCTGCTTCTCATTTCCCAAAATAACAGTGGATTGTTTGTCCTGTGTTTTGTTGGTTCTCACAAACCACCTGGGAATACCTGATAACAACAAGTCCCTCTCCCAACAGTGTTTTGTTTTCAGTGTGTGGAGCAATATCCGAGTAGGAGCAGATATGGAAACAACAAAATTGTCAGTGGGGGATATTTCCCCCCATTTTATGCCAAAAACCAACCAGTTCTGGGGGAGCAGGTGAGCTCAGAGTGCTCTCAGAGCTGCAGGATTTGGGCAGAGCTGCTGGAATTGAGCCCACTGAATTCCCAGCCCTGTCCCTGTGAATTCCCAGTGGGCAGCAAAGTCCTAGAAAGTCCTTGGGCTCCATGGTTGATTACAGCAATTAAGGACCATAAAGTGTGGCTCAAATATTACCTCAGCAGGTGACAGCAAAATGTCTTTTCTCTTGTATTTTGCTCGCAGCACGTCGAGTTTTTCGATTGCAAGGGCTCAGGGGAAGGAGTTGCTATTTACAGCCTGCACAGCACTGGGAAAATTAGGGCTTTTTCCTCCTAAAATATTCCTAGCCATCCATAAGAGCTTCTTGGAGGTTTGGGCAGGTGGTTTGATTTGCTGCAAGAAAAGTAATCGGAGATCATGGCAGCTCCTTGGGAAAGAGAAGGAAAAAAAGTACCAAAAAAAAAGAGTAGAAAATGTAAAATAAAATAAAATGCTGTGTTTGTAAGCCTGATTTATCAGTGTTTAAAGCAGCTTCTAAACCTCTTGGTTTGGAAGCTTTTGGAAGGAAATAAAACCATAACATAACACAACATACCCAGCCTAGGCCCAAACTCCATCCATTAAGCTTGGCTTAAATTAAGCAGCGTGAAATTCATTTCAACAATGCCCTCCCAGCATGTCACAATTCCTTCCCTTTCACCACCCAGCGTGAACATTTTAAACAAAGTCATTTTCCTATAATTCTGTTGGAGATGGCAGTCTTCTGGTTCTGTGATTCTGTGACGTTCTAAAGCACTTCTGTTGGAAAAAAAAAAAAAAAGTAAAATAAATATTCAGGGTTATTTTGGTTGTGTAAAGCCTGATGGTGTGGGAAGTGGTGACACCACTCTAGAAGAAAATCAGGACACTGTAATCATCAAAATCCTTAAAAAAAGATGTATATTCTTTAAATTAGCTGTTGGAATTAGGAAGAGCATGCAGTGAAAGCAGACAGGTGGCAAGGATCTTCTCAACAGTGAGGAAAATTCCACTTCATTCCTCACATGTAGAATACCCTGAAGGTTTTTGTGCTGCACATCCCTGCTTTGGGGACTGAAGTATCCTGATTTTGTTTGAAAGAGATGGACTGGTTTTATTTGTAGGGAAGTTGAAAAATCATTTCAGCTACTGAATGGGTGCTGCTGAACACTCCCCCAGGAAAATAAACTGAATTTTTTCTTTTGTTCAGCCTGGAGAGGAGAAGGATTTGGGGACACCTCTCTGTGTCCTTCCAGGGATCATAAAAGTGAGGGAGAGGGACTGGGGATGAGGGATGGAGGGACAGGCCACAGGGAATGGCTTGGGGATGGATGGGATATTGGGAAGGAATTCCTGGCTGGGCTGGAATTCCCAGAGCAGCTGTGGCTGCCCTGGATCCTGGCAGTGCCCAAGGCCAGCCTGGGACAGTGGGAAGTGTCCCTGCCCATCCAGGGGTGGCACTGGATGGCATTTAAGTCCCTCCCAACCCAAACCAGTCTGGGATTTTTGGATTCTGTGGTGTCTGAGAGTGGTGCCAGGCCAGAACATGAGCAGGCCCTTGGCACAGGTCAGCCTGCTGCTCCCAAAGGTGACCTGGTGCCAGGAGAGCCCCAGGGAGAGCAAAGCAAGCATGAAACCAAAAGGGAAATGGGGATAAACTGGAACAGAGGGAAGCAAGAGGAGAAATGGGAGCTCATCCCCTTGCAGATCCCAACTTAAATATCCCTGTTGCAGTAACAAGGAACTAGATGGAGGTGTGATTTTTATTTTTATTTTTTAAGAAATGATCCACCCCTGTCAGCAGGAACTCTCCATGGCAGGCAGCACAGGAGGATGATTGGAGGGTGGTTCAGGAATACACCACGTTATTCCAGCACTTCCTGGCTGAAGCCTGCATGTCTGAGGGAATGCTGTGGCAGACCACATATGGCAGCCACAGATGCCTGTGTAGTTGGGAGGATGATTAAGTTTAGTTTGGGGGCAGTATTTGTAATTTTTTATTTTTTTTTCTGGAGACTTATGGAACATTCTTGACTTCCCAGCATGTTATGTGGGACAGACACAGAGCATCCTCCTCACAGCAGAGCTCATTTCGGATACCAGGTGCACTTTTATTATCAGGTTTCATCAAACCCAACAGCAGCAGCTTCCCCAGAGCCTTGGGAAGATCATTCAGTGCTTTCAAGAGCTGAAGTAATTAGAAAAAATAAAGCAGTGTCTCTGTGCCGTTGCAGCTTTAGTTTGGTGCCTTTTATCATGGAAAAATAGCACCTTTTTTTTCTCTCCTGGGACTGCTGAATAGCTCTCCTGAAAAAGAGAGACCAGCTGCAGGGAGTGAAGCAAAATTCAGGCTGGAGGTGTTCAGGTGTTGATTCAGTCCCAGGTCTCACAACCTGCATTTGGAATAAAGCACAGATCAGAGCATTCCCAGGCAGATCTTTGCTGCTTTATGGCTGAACAAAAATATGGAATTTGAAAGGTTTGTGTGTTCAAATTTTGAACATTTTGTTGGGTGAAAACCACCTGAGCCTGTAGCCATCCCTGTGGCTGTGATCCTCACCTTGCCCTTGGCTCTGAGCCTGCGGGAAAAGTGCTTTGGGTGTTATTTTGTGGAGGAAGATCTGAATTTTTAACCTGTGAAAAAGGAAAAGTTCAGAGCAGCTCATCTATTCTCTAACCACTACCTCAGGCTTTGTGGGTACCTGCAATGCCAGCTAAGCAAAATCCTGTGCCTTGCATGTTCATTTGAACATTACCAAAAGAGATGGGAGTATTTTGGCAGTAAATAGAGATATATATTACCAGTATTTTTTTTAAACTCCATTTCTTAAATGTAGCAACACAATCTGTGCTGAACTGAAGGCAGCTGGAGAAAGGAGATAGACTGCAAGATTTGAAATCCAGGGGGAAAAAAAAAGAGATCAGGAAATGTTGGAAGAATTGGCCTATTTTCTAACAATTAGTATTCCCAAAGAAAAAAACATGTTCTAACTACCTAGTAATTTCCAAATTGCTGAGACACCTAATGAGTTGTTTTAAATAAATTTACCAAACATATAGAAGGAAATAATTGCTGAGCATTTGATTCTGAAATCACAACTCAATGCCAAGCAGTTGTGCAGCTGCCTCGTGTGTGTGTTGGGGATTCAGCAAGAAAATCATTTGCTTGGGAGCTGAACCTTGTCCTGGTTGGACTTCCAGTGCCACATCCACGTGGAAATTTGTGCAGAAGTCCCACTGAACCTCTTTTTCCTCCTGGATTTCCATATTTTTAACATTGCAGGAGCTGGAATGGATTTTGTAATTCGAGGGGGATGTTACTAATTCCAGAGGATATTAAAGCAAAGCAGGGGCTGTGTGATCTCTCCACCCCTTTCCACATGGGAATAACTTTGCTTTCCCTGCTGCTCCTCCCATGGAATTCTCCCTCCAGTCTGGGCTAGGACTCTGCAGTATTTTACTGGGCACACACAGATTTTCCTGGCCCCGGTTTCCATTGCAGCACAGCAAGGTTTTCACGCCAAAGGAAGAGATCCCCACTGTTTTGTATTTGCCTTTTAATTAATTACATCACCTGCCCAGTAATTAAATTTAGCTGCCCACCCTGAGTGCTGGGATGAGATGAGCAGCAACTGTGGTGGCCACTGGTATTTAAAATGTGGGGGTTTCTTAAATTCTCAACTTCTGTTCTTGTTTTCATGTAAAAATGAGTTAATACTTACTTTCTGTGACCCCCATCTCCATGACATACTTCCAGTAGTAACCTGTGAGTTAAACCTGCTCTTGTGCACCTGGACCAGGGAGATCTTTGTGTTGGGGCTTGGAGTGAGCTGCTTCCCCAAGGAATAACTCTCCTGTGAGTTTTGTGGGGTTTTTGAAGTGATTTCTGGAACATCGGTGGCATATGGCAGCATATGGCCCTGCAGCCATCCCTGTGCCTGTTTGTTCTCCTTGTGCTGTGTCAGGAGCTCTGTCAGGTCTCTGGGAACTCGTCAGGGAGGGATGTGGCCTCGATTCCCCTGGGAACTTGCAGAGGGCTGAGGACACTTGGGCTTTTTTCCAGTCCAGGCTCCAGTTTGGGATGAATTTCCCTTGGGGGAAAGGGAGGATGGGCTGATGAAGCTTCCTGCCAGTGAAAGGGCTGGGAGAGCTGGGTGTGCTCAGCCTGAGGAAGAGAAGGCTCTGGAGGGGTCTCAGAGCCCCTTGGAGGGCCTGAAGGGGCTCCAGGAGAGCTGGAGAGGGACTGGGGACAAGGGATGGAGGGACAGGAGCCAGGGAATGGCTCTCAGTGCCAGAGGGCAGGGATGGATGGGATACTGGAAAAGATTGTTTTCTGGGAAGGGGATGAGGCTCTGGCACAGGTTTCCCAGGAAAGCTGTGGCTGCATCTGGATCCCTGGAAGTGCCCAAGGCCAGCTTGGACGGGGCTTTGAGTAACCTGGGCTTGTGGAAGGTGTCTTGGCCTGGAACGAGATGAGCTGTGAAGTCCCTTCAACCCAAACCAGTCTGGGATTCCGTGATCCCATGTCTGCTAAAATATTTTAGTTGAGCTCCTGGCCAATTTAAAAGCATTGAAGTGACCTCTGGTTGAGCTGTTTGGTCTGCTGGATAATCTCAGAGTTCGGCATCAGGACAGGACCTTTGGGATCTTTGGGAATTTGGCTTCCTGTGTTTTGCAGGATGAGAATGCCTTGAGTGTCCAAAGACTTGGGAGGTGCCAGGTGGGATTGGTGCTGGGGAAGAAGAGGAGCACAGGAGAAGAGAGTGGGACAGGAGGGTTTTTTTCCCCTGTTTTTTTTTCCATTCCATGCTGTCCCCTGCTCGGATGTTATTCCAACCCCAGCATTCCCAAGAATTGGCTGCCTGGAGGAGCGCTGTGTGACCTGCCAGCGCCGTGGGTGCAGAGTGAGCTCTGTGCTCCTGCACTGACATCTCTCATTTCCCAGCTGAGCACAGGAGAGTGTCTGAGCACAGAGCTCTCCCTGCACCGCTCTCCCTGCGTGCCTGCACATCCCAGGATGCAGGAATGCATCCTCCTGCAGTGAGGCTGGCCTCATGGAGAAGGCAGGAGCTCTTGGTGAGCAGGGATGTTTTCCCAAAGGCTCTCCAGCTTGGGATAGACCCCACAGCACCCTAAATCTTTTCAGGAGAGGCTGCCTGTCATCTGGCTGATTGGAGCTGCTAATGGATCGCTGCTTTAATTGCACGAGCAGTGTGACAGAGCATTCCTTAGGGATGGAGGGACAGCAGTCCGGAGCTGTGGATTTATGGCGCTTGGGGAAAAATTATTTGCAAGCTCAGTAAGTCTTTATTTTTTAGCTGTAACAGCTAAAGGTTGATTATTCCTTCAGTGAACACAAAGGCTGGATGTTGTAGTGTCCAGGAAGAGGATTCATGTCACCTCTTCCTCCCTAAAATGCTCCCTCCCTGTCCATCAGCCTCATGTGTAAGACCAGTCAGTGAGCAGGAGAATAAAAATAAACAGACCCACTGCTCTTTCTGCTTTACCCTTCTCCCTGGTGTTTTTGGGATTGTTTCAAACCCTCCATGTTTTTTTTCTAAGCTGAATTACATTAGTTGATGAGAGAGGGAGAAAATAATGAATAAATTGCACAAAAAAATGGATTCACAGGAACCCAAAGTGTAAAGGCTGCGAAGTAAGCACTGAGTCTTTCATTGCCTTGAATAATGTAATTATCTAGAAAAGCCTGTTTCTTTCAAATTGCCAAATCTGGTGTCACTTGAACTCATTAAATCCCCACTTGACAAAGTTTCTCTGTCTCCCATAGGGTCATGGGATTTGGGTTAGATAAGGTTGGGATTGATAATTGGTCCTCAAATATTATGTGTAAAACTGTGGGCACAGGTGATATCCCCAAGTGACCCGGCTGCTGCTCTAAGCAATGTGAAAATAAAGCAGTTACAGGGTCTTTTTATAGAATCCCAGAATCACCAATGTTGGAAAAGCCCTCCAAGATCGAGTCCAGGCTGTGCCCAAACCCTCCCCTTGTCACCAGCCCAGAGCACTGAGTGCCACGTCCAGTCCTTCCCTGGACACCTCTGGGGATGGAGACTCCACCATTCCCTGGATAGCCCTTTCCAGTGTCTGACCACAATTTCCACTAAGAAATTCTTCCTTTAGGAACCCCTTGGTCTACAAAAAAAGATGGGAAATGGCTTTTTTTTTTTTTCCCGTCTCATTGCCTATTGCAGTTTCAGCAAGTAGGAGCTGTCAGAGCAGAACTTGCTGCACTTGGTGCTGAGCAGACAGCAGTGTTTGTGTTGGATTGTTGGGCAATATTCTGTCAATATCCCACAATATTTCTGGCAATAATTCTGATCTTCAATCAAACATTTCAAACAGCACCCAAAATTCAATACAAGTTTGGCTCCTTTTCTGCCCCTCTTGCTGCTATTTGCAGAACGGTGCCTGGTTTTCAATGTGATGCTGCAGCTCAGCACCATGTGAGTCACAGTCCTGGGGCTGCATCTTCCAGATAAGCCACTCTCTGTTTGGAACAACTTGGGAGAGCCGGGATCATGCGGATGTGATTGTACCAATCCCTCTCACTTGGCACACAGGCACTGCTCAGCCTGGCAGAGCAGCCGGGGGTGGCCTGGCAGCGTCAGCTGCTCTGCCTGAGGCTGCTTCTGACAGCAGTAAATAAGTCACTGTTCAAACACGCACCAGTAAAAACCAGTATGGGCTCTGCTCCTGTCCAGTTCCCTCACTGAGCTACAGAAAATAATATGTATATATATGAATAAATAACCAGCAGTGGCCCAGGGGTGCCCAGGTAGGCAAGAGCTGAGCCGGTCCCTGAGCTGGCACTGCTGGGGCACCTCCCATGCTGGGGACAGCTCTGGGACAGGAGGGACACTGAGGGGCTGGAGAATTCCTGAGGGAGCTGGGAAAGGGCTGGAGAATTCCTGAGGGAGCTGGGAAGGGGCTGGAGAATTCCTGAGGGAGCTGGGAAGGGGCTGGAGAATTCCTGAGGGAGCTGGGAAAGGGTCTGGAGAATTCCTGAGGGAGCTGGGAAGGGGCTGGAGAATTCCTGAGGGAGCTGGGAAGGGGCTGAGGCTGGAGCAAAGGAGGATCCCGAGGGATCTTTTCCCTCTCTGGAATTCCCTGGCAGGAGGGGACAGGCGGGGGGGTCGGGCTCTGCTGGCAGGGAACAGGGACAGGAGGAGAGGGAACGGCCTCAGGCTGGGCCAGGGCAGCTCAGGGGGGACAGCAGCAGGAATTTCCCCATGGAAGGGGCGCTCAGGCTGTCAGAGGTGTCTGTGTGAGGCCTGGCCAGGCGCTGTGGCTGCAGAGTTCCCTGGTCTCTGCTACATCCCGAAGGAAGCAGAAGGAAGAGCAGGATGTGCAGCTTCCCAGCTGGGAAAAGCTGAGCTGCTGCCAACACCTAACGCCAGTGTTCAGCCTGGGGATGCTCCACTTGTTCCAGCTCAGGACCCTGAACTCCTGTGTCTTCCCAGCCCTTCCCAGCTCTCCCTGAGTGTGGGATGTCCTGGAGGGAATCTTCTGGTGTGTTTAAAATCATGGCTGAGGTTGAAGTTCCTGTTGGCAAATCCCATTTGTGGCCTGGAGGAAATCTGATCCGAGTATGGAGCAAGGAAAGAGCACAGGCTCATTCGTGGTTCTTAGCCAGAAGTCTTCTGATGGATATGGATTCACAGGGATCCACAGGGATGGCCAAGGATCCACAGGGATGGCCATGGATCCACAGGGATGGCCATGGATCCACAGGGATGGCCATGGATCCACAGGGATGGCCAAGGATCCACAGGGATGGCCAAGGATCCACAGGGATGGCCATGGATCCACAGCAGTGGACAGGGATCCACAGCAATGGCCATGTATTCACAGCAGTATTTAAGAATATGTGACTTTCCTTGGACAGTAAGAATACTGACAGTGCCTGTGCTGCAGGATATAAATCCGTGTAAGGAAAAAGGATAATAATAATAAGGTTAAGATGCTGTAGATTTGCTTTGTTGGAACACACGGAGCCACAGATTGATCAGGAGTAAACATTCCCTGTTTTGCAAGGTTAAAGCCCTGTTTTACCACTGGCCCCACACACGAAGATCAGGTGTGTGGGGTGCTGGAGTCACCTCTGGTCTCTACAAAGAGAGGAGCCACTCCACTCTTCAGGGGTTGCCAGATAATGAAAAATATCCCAAAAAAGGCAATAAATCCCAACAGTGGCAACACTTTTCCTTCCTCACAGGCTGCTGCTCTCTGCTGCTGCCTGAATGTGCTGGTTTTGTGTCATATCGATACGGAACTATTGAGCAGCTTTAATAATGTCATTTTTGCCACTTTTTTTCCCCTGGAAGCCCAGAACAAAGCTCTGTGTGAGTGAGAACAAAGCCCTTACACAGTGGAGTGTATTCATGGGGAGGGATGATTCAAACCAAGCTTTATAATTCCTTAATTATATTTGATGTGACCTAACCCTTGACAATCCCAAGTCTGAGGTTGTCAAACAGGATATGACTATTATAAAGACTTTTGGACAGTGCCCACAGCTGAGCTGGATTTCACTGTGTCAGTAAGAAAGTGAAGGAGATTTTTTGTCTTTGGAAAATTCACTCAAACAAAAAAAAAAAAAAAAAGGAAAAAGAAAGAAAAAATATTATAAAAGTGTGGGAGGAGGGGGTTTCTGTTCCTTACCTGTGTTTTCTTAGTGACCTGGATTTCCTTTCAGGGCTCAGCAGATTCATACACGAGCAGACCCTCAGACTCTGATGTCTCTTTGGAAGAGGACAGGGAAGCAATCCGCCAGGAAAGGGAGCAGCAAGCAGCCATCCAGCTTGAGAGGGCCAAGGTGTGTTCTCTTCCCTGAGTCATGTGCCAGTTGCCTTCTGCCTGCTGGTAAAATTCACTCTTTCTTTTGAAATACTGAGTCAAAGTATCTGCAGAGAAGATGTTTGGGGAGTTTAGTGTAAATATTCTCCTCTAAATGGGGATATTCTCCAGGGAGCTGAACTCTGCTGGCCTGGGGGAAGTTATTAGGGCTGAATTTTTATGGATGAAAAGTTCCCAGTGTTTTTGATGTGGTTTTTTTTTTTTCTGTTTGTAGTCCAAACCAGTAGCATTTGCTGTCAAGACCAACGTGAGTTACTGTGGGGCTCTGGATGAAGATGTTCCTGTCCCAAGCACTGCCATCTCCTTCGATGCCAAGGACTTCCTCCACATTAAAGAGGTAAAACCAAGGAAAAGAGAATCTTTTTGCAGATTGTTTTTTTTTGCAGGAGTGCTGAGAGAGGGCAGGAGGGCACAGTGAGGATGAGGTGGTTCTTCATCCCTCGTGGAGCTCCTGCACCCTGGGGTGCTTATCCTGCCCTTTTGGAGCACTTGGTGTTACCAACATGTTGGAATTTCATCACACAGGAAGGAAATAATGCCCTTTAAAGTGGTGGGTTCAGATTCTTTCCGTCAGAACAAGTTTGTGATGGGTCAGAGATGGTGCAGGAGAAGGGGATTCCGTGGAGCAGCACCAGGTCACACCAGGTCTTCAAAAAAAACCCCAGATAGGCTCCCTTCCAGAGAGGAAGTAGCACTTAGGGTAATACAGTAAGCAAAGAAAATCCTGAAGAGGACAGATGCAAAAATAAGGGAAAAAAATGGGAATAAATGAGCCCTGAGTATGGCTTTGGTAGAGAAAATTGCATTTTATTGCATGCTGAGCATATTTTCTGCAATTTTTTATCTGAAGTGAGCCCTCCACATTTGCATAACCCCCTGTTGTGCTATGGATTGGTACAGAGGCTTGCAGCTTGCAAAAGCACTTTTTCATCTCTGCATTTTGGGTTTATTTTGGGGTGTTCAGTGCTCATCTGTGTCTTTCTTTGAACACGTGTTCATCATCACTCCCGAGCACTGATCTCCCTTAGACAGAGCACATTCAGGAGGAAAACACCTGCTGCTGCCCCTCCTCTGGTGCTGGAACAGGGAATTGCTTCACATCCCCCCTCCCTGAGAGAGAAAGGCAGTAAATTCCCTTTTTTTCCAGTTTTTAATCTTGGTTTTCCTGGACGTGCCCACCCTTATTGTCAGGGCACTGATTGAGTTGCAAGCTCCTGTCATGCTGCCCTGTACCTTCTCCCAGACAAGTGTCCCAAATCCATGTCTTGGCATTCCATGAGTTGTCTTCCAAGGTCTAAAAACCCGGGATCACACCATCACTAAGCTGTAAACCATCTGGTTTACTCGTGTTTGTCAGCTCAGCCTGCCCGGAGCTGGAACTCAGTAGGATTTGGGGAACGGTTCCCCACGCTGCAAAAAGGCTTTGCAGGATTTGTTTTCCAGTGATCTGGACCAGAACAATGGTTCCAGGTTTTGGAATGTTGCAGAGCTGGGTACAGAGCCAGGTCACCCTGTGGCAGGATGGAGCAGAGGCAGTGAGTGAGGAGCTGCTATTTTGAGGATGTGCCCTGTATGTCTCATCTGTCTCCTCCAAACTATACATTGTGTGCTTGCTTAAAGGATGAAATGGCAACAATTCCTGACAGAGCAGAAGGAATCATGGGCATGGCAACCACGGGATCCTCCCACACACAGAGTGACAGAGGGGAGGGAATGACCTAATGCAGATAAATCCTGTGTTCCTCACTGCAGCCTTGGCATTTGTGTGTTCAGATGCTCTCAGCATAACCCAGACTGCTTTGGGATGGAAGGGGCCTTAAATGGGCAGGACATTTCCACCATCCCAGGCTGCTCCAAGCCCTGTCCAGCCTGGCCTTGGACACTGCCAGGGATCCAGGGGCAGCCACAGCTTCTCTGGGCACCCTGTGCCTGCGCCAGCCAGGAATTCCTCCCCAGAATCCCATCTCTCCCTGCCCTCTGGTAGGGGGGAGCCATTCCCTGTGTCCCATCCCTCCATCCTTTGTCCCAAAGGGGCAGATTCTGATCCCATGTCTAGAGGCCTCGCTCTGAGGTCCATGAAGAAAGATTCCCATGGTCAGGCTGTACCTTCAGGGCCAAAATGGAGCAGGAGTTCCAACACCTTGGAACTCAGGTGTTGCAGGGATTGGTTTTGTAGAGTCAGACTGGTTTGGTTGGGCAGGGACACCTCCCACTGTCCCAGGCTGCTCCAAGCCCGCTTCAGCCTGGCCTTGGACACTTCCAGGGATGGGCACTCCACAACCTCTCAGTTCACTGATTTCCAGCAGCAGGATGTTGAATCCTGAAGGATTTCTCCAGTTCACAGACTGGAAGTAGTTCTGTAATTCAACATCCTTCAAATTAAGCTTTGCTTGCTCCCTGCCACTGTCTGAATCAAGGTCAGAACAGCAGGAGGAATAAATACTTAGTTGGAATGAGAAAATAATGGAACCTCTTGCCTAAATATATAAAAGAGGATAAAGAGGTTTTTCAGGGATGAGGATTGCATTCTCTTAGTTTTTATTATATGTTGATATTTATGATTGGGTTAGTGTTCAAATATCTGGGTTGATAAAAACCCATTTATTTTTCAGTGCTGCATCTCTGTGTTTCAGTCATCACCAGGCACTGCTGCAGCTTTGACAGCGTTTCTGTGTTCCTGCAGGAACTGAAGTGCCTGCAAATATGGAGCCAGGAGCAGGGATGGTCTTGAAGATGAGATCTCTGTGATGGCTTTTTCCTCGAGGCAGGCAAACAAAACCCATTCACTCGTGCTGCTCTTAATGACTCCAGAGCCAGTTGTGAAAAGCAATGTTTCTTTTGAACACTGAGCTGCCTAATGAAGCAGAACAGAGGAGAGGCTTTTCAGATACTTTTCTTCAAAAGCTCTGCTGGCAGCAGCTACAACAAATCCTTTTCCACTCCAGTATCCACCAGGATCCTGCTTTTCATCTTGCCATCATTAGGGACAGACTGACTAAAGCAGAAAAATATATGTTACTAAAGGTCAATGATAAAATGCTATACTTTAGGTATATATTAAAGTTTCCTCCTTAAGGTGAATTTGTCTTAATCTGTCATAACCTGTTAATAACATCCCTACAGATACCTGGAAAGGAGGAAGGGAAAGTGGTGATCTTTTGTCTAGACCATTAAATATGACAAGCAGTATTTGATGGGAAGCTGAAGGTGTTATTTTATGTTTGCTGCTGGGAGGTTGTTCGGTGGCCTCAGCTCCAAAAAACGGGTTCTGCTTATTAAATCAACCCTGGAATTAAATCAGCAGGGGCCAGAAGGAGGGGAAACGACCTCGGTGCTCTGGTGTCACACACCGGGGTGAGCCTGGTTTGTTACCCAGGAGTGTGCATAACAAAGGGAGGGAATCATTGAGCTGGAGTAGCCAGGAACCTTCCCTGTGTTGCAGAAATACAACAACGACTGGTGGATAGGGAGGCTGGTGAAGGAGGGCTGCGAGATCGGCTTCATCCCCAGCCCGCTGCGCCTGGAGAACATCCGCATCCAGCAGGAGCAGAAGAGGGGCCGCTTCCACGGAGGGTGAGAGCGCCCTGACCTTTGCAAATGGCTTCAAATCCTTCCTCACGCAGGGCAACATTTCCAAAGGTCACCTGCTGCTGCTTTATTGCAGGGAATTTGCAGTGTTGGATTTGGGATTCCCAGTGGAAGGATGGATTTGAGGAGAGTGGGAGTGGGAGATGCTGGTGATGAGAAACAAAAAAAATGTGTTTGGCTGTAGGAAAGAGCAGTGAGGGATACTGACAGGAATTTCTGAGAGTTCTGTGTGCCCGTGGCCTTAGGTAAACTTGGTGCTCAAAGTCTCCTGGATTTTTCCCAGCTTTTCTTAGGTTGTGGGGTTTTTCTCCTTCCTTTTTTTCTTGTCTCTCCATTTTGCCCCAAACCAGACTTGTCAAACTTCGTGAGATCAGCTTTCCCATCCTTTATTCTTCATCTTCCAGCCTGAGGTTTTTGAGTCTCCACCCTGCCAGACCTGGAGATTGGAAACCCCTGGGAAAAGGTCTGGGAGATAAACCTGGGAAATGCTTTCAGAATGGTTGAACAGCATCCAAATTTCTTCTATAATTTTTGACACAACTTCAGAGGCAGCCAGGGTGGGTCTCAATATTCAGAGAAATTACTGAGTTCAGTGAGATGCTCCTGGATTTGGATGATAAAATTCCATATTATAATGATCAAACAGTTAATTTTTAGCTTTGTTAATTAGTTAATTTATGTTTGTATGATCTTGTGACTCCTCATGGGACAATTCCTCCCCAAAACCTCCCACATTTTGGGGTGCCTGCTGTTCATGGGGCTCTTTCTGCTGCTGTAGGAAATCCAGTGGGAATTCTTCCTCAAGCCTTGGAGAGATGGTTTCTGGCACATTTCGAGCCACACCTACAGCCACAGGTAAGCCAGGATTTATTTAAGGAAACCCTTGCTAATAATTCTGGTTAAAAACCCCAGCATGAGAAGTGCAGCTTTTCCCCTTTGCTGAGTTACTGAGGTGTTTTCCAGCAAAATGTTGGCATGCCCAGGGGAGGAGGACATCGATTTCCAACCATGCAGGAGCTGCTGAGGGCTGGGAAATAACCTGGGAACAGTGGCAGCTGCCCAGAATGCCCAGTTTAATGGACAGAATTCCCAGTTTAATGCATAGAGTACCCAGTTTAATGTACCCATCACCCAGTTTAATGCATAGAATGTCCAGTTTAGTGCAGAATACCCAGTTTAATGCACAGATCACCCATTTTAATATATAGATTTCCCAGTTTAATGCACAGATCACCCAGTTTACTGCACAGATTTCCCAGTTTGGTCAGGCCTGAGCCGAGGGAGGTGCACAGGGAGAAATCAAAGTGCTTTGGCAAAGGGATTTCTGGTTGCCTGGCTGTGTTTTAACCAAGTTCTCATTTGGTCTTCTAGCAAAACAGAAACAAAAAGTGGTAAGTAAAGCTTTTGTTTCCATCATATTCCCTTCTAATTGATAATTCCCAGGATTTCCCTGTGGGTGTTGTTTGCCTGGTGATCTGAAGGGTTGTTTTTTCCCTCCAGACAGAACATATTCCCCCCTATGATGTAGTGCCATCAATGAGACCTGTGGTGTTGGTGGGCCCCTCACTCAAAGGCTATGAGGTATGGACTGAGGGGTTTGCAATCAATTCAACTTTTCTTATCTCTGATCATCCTCAGTAATTCCAGGTGTGGCTCAGTGCAACTGGTTTATGATAATTTCAAGTGATTTAGCTGAAATAATTACCTGAATGTTCTGTAAGAGCTAGGAGTTACTTCAGACTTGTACTGTTTTAAGCACAGTGCAAATCCATTCTTTCCAGTGCACTCGTTCCTGATTAAATCAAGTAAAAAAGAGAATTTGTGTCTGCTACAAGCAATCAAATTAACGAGCTGGGCTCTACACATGAAAAATGTTCATCAAACCAGCCCCTGCTTTGAACTTAATTAGAAAAACATTTGAAGGAGCTTCCTTGTTGTTCTCCTTTTTATTAATAAATTCAAATCTTTTTCAAAGAAACCTTTAACCTTCCTGAAAGATTCCCCAGGTGGAAGTGGGCAGGAAAACATGCCCAGATAACCAGGACAGCCTTTTTTAGGCTGCTGGAGGTTCAAGTGAGCATTTACCACGTGCTGAAGACTTCTAGCAGGGCAGTTTAGGGAGCTCAGCCATCTGGGAAGTGCTGAACCAGGAACTAAATGAACATAAAATCAAGGATACACTTCATTAAGCTTCATTAATGTTGTCAGTAATTTATAAGATAATATTAAACATACTGGAATGGTTCTTTAGGGGAGGTGAGAGCCTTGGCATAATGCAGTGTTCTGGCATTGTTTTTCTGTGAGTGACTGAAGGTGCAGCTCAGCAGAGCAGGCACTTCATGTTCTGCTCTCTGCCTTTTAATTTGATGGGGAAGTTTTTTGACAGGAGTAAATTCCCCGTGTGCTGCAGCACAGATCAATTTACCTCTAGAGTTTGGAGGGGAGAGAGAGGTTGTTTGCTCATAAAAACCTCTTCAAATCTGCCACCATGTCTCTTTCTTAAAGAAAACAGCACTGAACCTTGAACATGCAAATGTGTGGAGATGCTAACACACAATATTAATTTCAATAACAAAAACTATTCCTCTTACTTGGGGGAAATTATTTTGCCTGTTTTTTTTCTGGCTAAATGCTGAAGGAATCAGTTGGAAGGAGAGAAATAAACTGGCAGAGAGGCCTGGGGGCTTTGATGAAGCTGCTGTCTGGCCTGGCAGATAATAATTGTCAGCCTGAGTTGTCCTGGAAAGGACAAGGAGCTGCTCAATAAATCAGATGGCAGAGATGACAGCTCTCGGGGCTGAGCATCTCAGATGTGCTCCGTGTCCAGCAGTGGGAAGATCCCTTTTTTTTTGCTGTTATCCCTCTCTGAGAACAGTCCCCTCATCCCTGAAGCTTGGAGCCCTCTCTAACAAGGTTGTGCAGGAAAAGCCCGAGGTGTGTCTGACACACATCCCCTGTGGTTGTGCCGTGCTGTGAAGCTTTGGGAATGGTGCTGGATGGGGCAGGGGGTGAGGAATGCTCAGTGCAGCTCAGGACAGGAGCACACACAGTGACAGCCCTGCACTTGGAGCAGTGGTCAGGAAGCTTCCGTGGATTTATTCCTGAGCGCTGTGGCAGGAGCGTGGCACTGGGATGGGCTCTGCCCATCAGGGGTGTTGATTGTGGGCTGTATCCCTGCCTTCTACTCACCTCTTTCCTTCCTTTTGGCTTCTTTCTCTCCCTGTCCATCCCCTGCTCAATCTTCTCCCCTCTGCCAAGGTGACAGACATGATGCAGAAAGCTCTCTTTGACTTCCTGAAGCACAGGTTTGATGGGAGGTGAGAAACTCTGTCCTTCTCATGCTGCTTTGCCCGTGTGTTACTAACATTTCAGTGAATTACTTTATTTTTTTTTAATGCCAGAGGGTTTGCTGCATGGTCAAAGCTGATTTTCTGGCTTTGTGTCACTACTGAAGAGTGGGACACAGCTCATGTGTTAGTAGGGGTGCACATGTCTGCATTTCTGCCATGGCTGGGCTAGGATTTCTTAACTAAAACAAGAATTCCATCTCAGTGTCTTCCCAATACCTAAGAAAAATCAGCTCTAAAATATTCCTTATATAAGATTTTATTTTGACTGCCTTAAGCAGGTAAAAGTACTGAAAAAAGGGTGGTTGGAAGAAGGAAATGCTGAGAAATAAAACACAGAAAAGGAATTGTAAGGAAAGCTTATCTTCACCTGGAGCATTTCCTGGTGAGCTGGAGAGGATAATTTGGATTTCCTCGCTAGGAGCACTGGTTTGGTCCATGGCATCACCTCAGTCCTTGCAGGTGTCTGCTGCATCTTTGGGATGTTCTGCCCTTCCCAGTTAGCTCAGGATATTCCAGCTGGGAAAAGAAGCTGTTCTGGTGATACAAAACACTAAGTCAGGTTTGGAATACCCAAAGCACGGGCACCAGGGCAGGAGAAATGATGTTCTGTAGAAGAGCTGGAGCAGGATTTGTGGATTTTAGGAGAGAGGAGGTGGCAGTGCTGAACTGATCCCTAAACAGCTCAGAGAGAACATTTAATGATCAACTTCTGTGCAAAGCATCTCCTCTCCTGGCCTGTTCTGAGCTGCTCAGCTCAAGTGATTTTCTGGAAATCCTAATTCCATTGGCAGCTGGATCAGGTGGGAGTATGAAATTTCAGCAGTGGAGAGCTCAGTGCCACCAGCAGCCTGAGACCATTGATTTTAGCTCTGAGGAACTCAGGAAAAAGCTGCTTCTTGCTCCTTCTGCCAACTTCTATGGCTTTGTGGTCTTTATCCTCCCTCCCTTTTCTTTTTTCTTTCTTTCTTTCTTTCCTTCTTTCCATCTCTTGTGCAGTTTTGGGAGAGGTCCACGTTACCAAGAAAGGGGCTGAGTGTCCAAGGAAGAGCCTTTCCAAAGGCTTCAGCAAGACCTGACTGCTTCCCTGCCTCTGAATTCCCTTGGCTTTGCCAGCTCCTTCCTTTGCAACTGCAACCTCCCCTGCTGGCCAGTGAGCCAGAGACCCCACAATCCATTCATTTCTATTTTGAACTCATTTTTACTTTTGGCCTCTATTTTCTGGCAATGCATTTATTTATGTATTATGCAGAAAAATAACTGCACTTCTTTTTAACCCTGCAGCTGAAAAACGTCACTTAGAGCTGCATAAATCTTAGGTTATGTGCAAAAGCTGCTGCTCATTCCCAGCTTGATTTCTTTCCATTTTTTCCTGGCTCCTTGGCTCAGTCCAAGCCCCCTAAATGGATTTTATATGGAAGGATTGTGTGGTCTTTGCTTTGTAACACTTTGTGTCATTCTAACTCACTGACAGATGAAGTCAATAAATCACCTGCCT